TCCAATGTAGCTCAATCTATTAGTATTTCTTGATGAATTTAGTATATACTTGCATATATGTAGTAGGCTTGCATATTAAGTTGGTATTTTGGCACTTCCGACAAGATATACCTGGTTCATGTTTAGGATGATTTTTAGTATATAGTAAAGTTGTATGTTCTGTTAGGCGTCGTTTGTTTGGAGAGATTAGCCATGAGTAACTACCTAATTGGACTTTATTTGATGTTTGGTAAGCCCAATAACTTCCCGGGTCGACCCGGAAATATTATATTATCACGCCATATCATGCTTTTAGGGAGGTTTTTTGTTTGACCTTCTGGGGTCCAATAAAACAATTGATTTGTCGTTAGATTATTTAATCTTATGTTAGCTTATCCTATATTGGCAACCAAACGAGGCCTTAGATGAATGACTGTATTATTAGTGAGACACACATCCAAACCTGATCACCTTGTATTCGAGAAAAGGTTTACTCCGAAGATGAAATACACAATGGCAGAAGTAATAAGGCACATGGAAATCAGAATAGAAGATTAAGGAGAGGATATGTTTTTCTTTACTTTGTCTGCATGGAAGATATGTACCATAAGAACCGATCAAATTGTTGTCATGCTATTGTTAGAGAAATAGTTATCAAATAACTGTCTCAGTTCCCAACAATTTCGAACATTCAACCTAACCGAAGCAGAAAATAAATACTGGAAGGCAATGCAAGCTAATTTAAACTTTAATCGTTCCATCGCTAGTTCATAACCCCGTTTGGTTGAATTTTTCAGATAGTGAACCCACAAAACAAAGATATTCGAGATATACCAGGATTAGCTCCTCCAGCTCCCGCCCGGAAATTACTATGGATTTCTGATTGATGATCAACTTTGATGTTATTACACATTACTTGCCTTTGGTATAGTGCACTACTGGAGGCAATCAGAGTTAAACCAAAGACAAGGTTTGATCGACTAAAATTAATCAGTACGATTATTTGTATCCATATCACACAATTATTTTTGTCAATTGGCAGCTACCATATATTTTTTTTTATTTTTAATCAAAATTAAATGGAACTGGGAATTTGTTTGTGTAATTCCCCTGTAATTTTTCTAAAGATTAAATTAATTTGCATTTGGATGAGGAATATTTGATGTATATGCGGTTTGTATTCTTCTGAATCTATTGGTGTCTATGTACTTATTTATTACCATTATTTCCAGATTCGCTGCTCCCTTTTTTCTTTTGGAAAAATGTCAACTTTCAAGCTGCCTTCACTTTAGACACAGTGAGCATGCATGCGTTGTAATCAGTTAAAAAAATTATACATTCAATTTAAATTTAAATTTAAATGAACTTATCGAAAGCGATTTTCCTATTATGCGAAACATTGTTAAAAAAAATTATACATTCAATATAATTTTAAATGAATTTACCAAAAGAGCTATGATACCAATTGTTGGAAAACAAACTCCAGGAGCTAGTGATATATATATATATATATATATTCACAAAAGATTTATTTAAAATTTTGTAAGAATGCAATTTAATTCTTGATGTGTTGATGGCGGGATAAAATTCATTCTAGAACTTACAACATCACTCAGATACGATCCTAACGTCGTTTTCAAAATAATTCACGAACTGAAAGACTCGGAAAATAATAGATGCATTTTTTCTGACATTATATTCGGATGATTTGGATTCCAATTTCACAGATTTTGTTTCAAATTCGATTGATTTATCAGGTTTGTGATGGGGCAAACTTTTTAGCAGAAGAAATTGTGTTATTAATTAGCATGATTATATAGATAACTACGTACTCTATTATGCAATTGTTCATCTCCAATTCGCAAAATTGAAGTGGATCGGTATCCACCAATGACTGTGATAATATTCGAGTCACTATCAGGAAATTGGAGAACCAGTAGCTATCTATCCTTTTTTAAAACAAAAAAAAAAAAGAAAAAAAAAAGAAAAAAAAATTAAATAAAGGACTTTAAGCTTCACGGAAACATGCATGCATCTGACATTGGGTCCTCTTGAAGGATTCCTCTACCAAGTTTAGACTGGTACTCATTATGACCAATGACAGCTAAATGGGGGTCAATAACTTTCAATACAACGAAACACGAAAAATATTCATCCACGTAATTATATCTCTCCTTGCTTGATTTGAATAGCACCCAATTGCAACATGAGCGCGTGGAGAAGCCTGAAACATATATCATTCTACGCAAAAATATGTCATAATTAATTAATAGGCCCGTTTGGTTGCCAATATAAGTCAAGATTAATTAAGTAGTTGGACTTAATTTGATGTTTGGTATCCCAATAAATTATCGGGTCGACCCGCTAAAATTATATAATCATGACTTATGTTGCCTTTTAGTGTGTTTTTTTGTTGAACATCGCGAGCTGCAATATAATAATTGGGGTTCTTTAGACTATTTAATCTTATCTTGCCAACGAAACGAGGCCTTGATAACTATATAATGGTGTCCTATGTTCATGTACAATCTTAAATCCTAAAACATAATCATATAACTCTATTATGACTAGGGTTGCTTAATGTTGCCCTACCACTTCTTTATTTATGACTAGGGTTGCTTAATGTTGCCCAACCACTTCTTTATTTTATAGGGTAAATTACAACCACCCCGAGGTATGGTAAAATTACGAAAATCTCTCTCTTGTTTGGGTAATTACAATAACCCCCTCAACTATAAATTTTCTTAAACGTCCATTCTTGCGGTTTCAAATTTAGTGGAATCTTCTTGATTATATGGAATATTATTACTTTTGTACCCATTTTATCCCATTAAAGCTACACATTTTGAAGCAGATGATCATAAGATGTGTTTTTTAGCCGGTATATATCAGATTGTGGTGCATCAGAAACTGTATTTTTACAAAAAACGAGTACAAACTAGAGCACATTCCACGAAATTTAGATGATTATGTTGAATTTGACACCATAAAGGTGGAGGTGTAAGAAGATTCATAGTTGAGGGGTATATGTAATAATCTAAACAAAAGGGTTTTTTCATAAATTGACCCTACCTCAGGGAGTGATTGTAATTTACCCTATTTTATATACTAGCAATTCTCCTCGTGCGATGTATGCGTAACATTTGCGGAAAATATTAATATATGATAATGAAATCTTATTAAAAAAATATATTACACATTAAAATAATTAGTTGTAAGATTTAAATTACCAAAATAGCATAAAAAAGTTAAGTTTTGTTAGTCAATTTGCAAATTTGATTTACTATGAAAATTTCAAAAATACTGGAAAATAGGAGATGAAAATAATAATAATAATAATTATTATTATTATTAAAAAAATGTATTATTATTTAAAAAAATTACAAAAATACCATTAGAATTTCTTAAGTTGACCTAGCGTTCTTTACCTTTATAGGTTAATCACAAAAATGCCCATGACAAGGGCACTTAATTAAAAGGGGTTATTTTACATACACCCCTAGCCATCAAATAAACTAGGGATAAACCCAAACTCAAATCATCCTTTGACATACCCCTGGAGAAGCGAAAGTACTATACTACCCTCATATGCAATTTTCGGCCAAACATCATTCAGTATTTCTGGTCATGCATTTATCATTTTCGCTGATTTATTTATTATTATTATTATTATTATTATTATTTTAATAATAACAAACCTGTTTGTTATATATATATATATATGTACATACATATATATATATATATATATATATATATATATATATATATATATATATATATATATATATATATATCTATATATATATATATATATATATATATATATATATCTATATTTATCTATATATATATATATATATATATATATATATATATATATATATATATATATATATATATATATATATATATATATATAAAGAGGCAGCTCGCGAG